CAGCCATGTATTTTCTTTGCCCCTCGGTGCAGGTTCGGCATATGCTTGCATGTAGTTGGTGGCCCAAGAGCCTTCTGGCTGGCTCTTCTCTTGGGGCAACCGTGAACTGATAATTCTGGGATGCATTGTTACTTCCTCCCTAACGATGGGCTACTAGCTGTTCTCCAGCAAGTGCTTCTCAGCCCCGGCCAATCACTGCGAAGGGTGAAGAACAAGCAGCCACCCCAAGCTTACAAGAGGAACTGAATTATGGCTCTTGATCATTGCCTACATAAACAAAGGCAAAACAATAATAATTGTGCCTGTAGGAATTATTCAGGAAAGCAAGTCTCTTGGGTTGCCCTGCTTTAAAAAAAAATTTGCCAGATGAAAATTTCATTCACCAAATACCCTCTTTTTCCATATTTTATTTATACTTGCTAAATAAAAACATGGGGCAATTTGAGGAAGCCCCATTTTAACCATACCTACATTGCAGCCGCCAAATCAAATGTCTGACTGCTAAAACAAAACAATAACTGCAGATGGCAATCAATGTGATGGATGGAGCCACCCCTGCGTGCATCTAATGTTCGTTCTTTATGAAGTGCCTTCCGTGTGAAGAGGATCGTATGGGGAGGAAACACCACCAGAGGAGGGACGGTCTAACCTCTGGCTACCCTGACGTTCAGGACTACCATTCCATATCATTGCCCACCATGACTAGGGCTTCTGAGACCTCAAGCCCCAAACACGGAAAGGTCCAAAGATGGGCCCACAGCTGAATCAGAGGATAGTACAGAACCCTTCATCGTCTTTCTTGTCATGGTCACAAGCCATCATCATACAGGAGATCAGGGCTTGGGAACCTGCGAGACCCTTCAGAGGTTGTCGGTCAGTCTCTTATCTCAGCCCAAGTCAGCGTGGCCAAAGTCAGGGATGATGGGGGTGGCAGTCCATCATCATCTAGATGATGCCACAGATTTCCCTATGGCCGGGACAGGCAAAGATCAGCTCTGGTTAAACTTGCATTAAGCCAGCAGTAGGTGTAACCAATGATCTTTGAAAATGAAAAACACATTTATTCTCAGTCTTGTGTTTTTTCTCGTTTCAATGAGCAAATAGGTAAAGAGGCAGAAAACAAGAATTAAACTACTGTGTGTGAGCGCATATGGACTAGAACCTGGGTTCGATTCCTCCCCACCACAGATCAGCTGCTGACACAGTATGTGAAGTAACTGACCAGACCACTCCCCGGCCTTTTTTCTTTTCTTGGGGGCTATTGTAACAACATACAGTATATCACAGAAGTGAGTACACCCCCCTCACCTTTCACAAATATTTGAGTATATCTTTTCATGTGACAACACTGAAGAAATGACACTTGGCTACAATGTAAAGCAGTGAGTATACAGCTTGTATAACAGTGTGAATGTGCTGTCCCCTCAAAATAACGCAACACACACCCATGTCGTCACTTCTGTGATCTACTGTAGACCAGGCTATAGAACAGGTGGCCTCCCAGATCTGGTTGGGCTGCCTCTCCCATCAACCCCATCTACGGTGGTAAAGAATGACAGGAGCTATAGGTTAAACTTTGGAGTTCCACACCTTCACCATGGATGAAAAGAGAAGAAACACGTTTGCTTTAAAGCAGAACCAGGAACTGCCAGCCATTCCAGATTTTCAGGGCCAAAAGCCAATGGTCTCATTCTAGGCAGTTACTTCAGAAAGAAAAGACCGGGGATGGAAGGGAATGTCCCAGAGGCTTCCCCTTAGCCCTTTTACTGCAGCAAGCACAAATAAGATAACGTGGCCGGAACATTATCAATAGGCCCATTTGGGTGTGCCCATGTCTTGTATGGGCAGATGGAAAGGAGACCTACCGCATCCATGGGTTTCAAGATTCCACCCTTCCACATGTCTGTGGCTCTACACCACCTTCTTAGTCCTCACACAAACATCTTTAAGTAGAGACCAGACTGAATGCTGAAAACCCTTGAATCTATCACTATGGGGTTTCCCACATGTCAGAGATACAGTGGTGCCTCGCAAGACTATGTTAATTAATTCCATGAAAAACATTGTCTTGCGAAACAATTGGAATGCATTGAAATCTATTCAATGCGTTCCAAAGGAAAAATCGTCATCTTGCGAAAATCGCCCATAGAAAACATTGTCTTGTGAAACGCAGTTCCCCATTGGAATGCATTGAAATCTATTTAATGCGATCCAATGGGGAAAAATCGTCTTGTAAAAATCGTCCATAGGAAACCATCATCTTGCAAAGCGCAACAGCGATTGCAAAAACTAATTGTATTGCGAGGCACCACTGTATTACCAAACACAGTGGTATAATACAGATAGGCGTTCGAGGCTCTGTTTCCTATAGGGCACATCAAAATGAAGAAAGGCACAAAGGACCTATACGAGAGTCTATCACAGCTGACTTCTCAAAGGTGCTTACACATGTTTTCCACCTAAACCTTACTCTGCTTTTCCAAGGTAAAAAGCCCCAAAGACCTTTGTTCGATAGGGTGGAGTTGCTCCCGCCTCCAAATAATCTCAGTCACACTCTCCCCGTGTCTTTTCTACCACCATTTCGGAGACATGGTAGACAAGAGGACATTCATCCAGCAGATTCTGGCTCTTTACATTTGAACTTTATTTCAATGCTCCTTCTGATGCCCAAGTGCAGAACAGAAGGCAATGATATATAAAAACATGAATAAAATGTAAGAAGGCAGTCTGGTGCAGGAGGCTTAAGACAAAAAAGATGCATAAAGACAAGTAAACAAGTTTTAAAAGGCACTTTGTTACACTCCCCCCCCAGGAAAGGACAGACACAGAATATAATTCCAATAAAGTTACAAAACTAGGAATCCCTTTCAATAAAACAGACTGCCAAGAAGATCCTTTTAAAGTGAGCCCGTTCCGACGGCCATTGCAAAGCCCATCGTGTTGCTACAGAGGCCAGGAAGTCTTCCGCCCACTTCCCTTGCATCCCATAATCTAGGAGGCTCCAGAGGCATTGGAACCACACCTCTCACACACCCAGTTTATGAGAGTTGTGATTCAACACATCTGGAAGCCACTGGACTGTGAAAGGATGTCTAAAGCTTCCTAGCACAGCAGCCTGAGCCCAATTCTGCCTCTGAAGCAGGCGGCTGCACCAGGGTTACGGCTTTGGCCTGGCCATGGTGGCACGAAGGGGAAGGGTCCCCTCTGCCCAGGATCCTGGGTATTTGCACATCTTCTGCCAAAGGCTTATCTCCTCGCCTGTGGAATCCATCCAGTCCACCATCTGGCCACTGCTCATTCCTACAGAGAAAAAAGACAGCAGGTAAGGAAGAGCCTTTGCTTCCCTGTGCTAAAGCTGAATGCAAAGAGCACAAGGAAGCTGAAATCCAGGCATGGTTGAGACATGGTTGCTGAGATGATTCATGGATCTGGGCTGTCACAAGGGCAAAAGAAATTTCAGATACCAACTCGGGGTGTAATCAGATAGCAATATAGGATTGTGCTGGATCACACTGGAAAGAGTTGCTTCATTGGGCGTGATCTCACTTGAAGTGACCCTTCTGTACACATGCAATATGGTTCCAATCAATCCAGCCCAGTTCTAGGGGGGAAAAAAACCGTAGCCCTGCCACTGGACCAAAAATCTCTGGACTGGGAATGGGGCAGGGTCTGGTTCATGATTTCCACTCTGTCATCTAATTGCTGGAAATTGGCTCAAACCAAACCATGCTGTAGGTGCCCCAAAATACAGTAGATCCCCATTGCCAATAGATCAGCTTAGATGAATTATATATCCAGACCACGGGGTGGGAAGCCATGGCCCTCCATGTGGCTAAACTGCAGGGCCCATCAGCCTTAACCAGCTGTGCTTATGGTGAGCAATCAAAGGAGGACTCCATGTTACCCATCCCTCATCTCTTGCTGATTTGCTGTCCTCTGAAGATGGCAGCCACAGAGACTGGCGAAACGTTAGGAAGAACCACTTTCAGAACACGGCCAAGAAGCCCGAAAAACCCACAACAACCATTCTTGCTGATTTGATTATTTTTTTCAACCGGAGACCCCAGTGATCAAGCAACAGACTGTTCAGCAAGCAAACCAGCTGTTCTGCTTTTCCACTACAGTTCCCACCCCACCCCCAGGAGCCACATGACACAAAGATGGTATCTTTGCAATGTTAAGGTTAGTACATATGTACTCACACATAATCACACCCATGCAGAACTTGGAATGTTTTGCACTGAAGCACACAACGCATTTTGATTGAGGCTACTAGGTCAACATGAGATACAGGAAAGTCACTGGTAATAGTCCTGTGATCTGGCATTACTGCCCTTTCTGTCCTTCATCTAGGCCAGTCCTGAAACCACCACCATAGATGATCTCACTCAAAGGAAGCTGGTTTGATCTCAAGGATCGTAATTGACCAACTTCTTTCCTTTAAAAAATTACTATTATGATTCCTTTTCCTCTCTTAATGATTGTGTCGTTTTGTTGTTCTTCCTTTTTGTTGCCTACAGTGTTCTAAAATAAACTTTGTTCCAATATAAAACATGTTTCCTTCAAAATAACATTTTCTGTTATCTTGAAGAAAAAGGAAAAGATGGCCAGCGACGGTTGTTGCTCCCAGCTTGGGGTTTGGGTTGGGGTGGGTTTACAGGGTCTACCTGAAACAAGACAAAAACTCTAGTGCCCACCACCAGTCAAAACCAGGCGCCAAGCAGTAGCCCCTGAGAGTGGACGTGCACTAATCATTTAGTGGCAAGGAACCTTTGAGCAATGTCCATGGGTAGGAGTTAGAGGGAGGCAGGAACAGCTACCAGAACCCACGGCAGTTGCCCATCTCCCCTTAACCCTGGGGTACAGGGCAGGCACCGTTGACTGCAGTTCTTCAAGCCAAAACATAAAATAAGTCTCAGGCTAAACCCTCGTCCCCCACTTCCCTTCCTCACCATTTCCAACTCCAAGCCGGACTCCGCCCAAGAACTCGTTGCTGGAAAGCGGCTCCCGGTCCCATACCGTGAGCTCCAGGCAGATGTGGGGCAGCTGTTCTGGAATGACATTGTTGTAGACGAAGGTGTGGTTGTAGTGGGGGTTCAGACTTTTCTTCACGATGGGCGTCTTCCTTTTGGTGGCCTTGTTCCTCAGAGGCAGCAGGTAGCTGTGGACAAGGAAGGGTTACTTAAGGAAGGCCCCTGGAGGGCTGGAATTCAACACCTTGAGGAGTTCTGCCTTCGGTAGTACAAGTTGCCAGGCCGCTGGAAACTATGGAGGACAAATCTGGACAAAAAGGACATTTCAAGCACCACACAAAACTTCCCACCATTTCTCTCCCCTAGCCAGAAAAGACTGAATAAGCCATCCATGCATAGTTCATACAAGGTCATGGTGCTCAGTTTTTCTTGGCCATTAATACTTTCTGTCCTCCTTTGAATGCACAAGAGTTTACACAGCTCTACAAAGAGTTACTTCCCAGAGCCAGGCACCTTCCTCTAATACCCAAGCATATGCAAAGCCAAGAAAAGTATAAGAAAATTATTCTCATAACCTTTTCCTTTTTTTCCCCCCTCTCTCTCATACACACAAACACAATCCTAGATCCTTACTCAATATGGGCAGAGCTGAGTTGATCTCCAACTCTTTTATCATCCATCACCCAATTTTAAAAACCCTGTTTCCTCACCCTTTGACAAAACTGTCAGAAGTCCCACCAGATTTCACTGCTGTCAAATTCTTGGCCTCTTTGATCCACACTTGAAGCTCACCTCCTTCTTCCTTTTTGCCTAACAAAAGAGCCTTGTGATTAATAGGAATACCAGAAACTATTAAAAATTCCTTCTTAAAATCAGAACCTATTACAATTATTTTTAAAAACTCCCTTTAAACAGGACAATATCTAAGTGTCTCCAACATCATCCCAACCAACCACATGATACAAAACCTGAAGTCTGGGAAACCTACAGATCTTTGGCTGTTACGAAAATATAGGCCAGGTTTCTAGACCTCACAGAGTGGAAAAAAGTTGGGTTCAAATAGGCAGGATCGTAGGAGAAAAGCCGAGTTTGTGTTGCATTCAGAAAAAAAGCTGTAGACACCTTCGAACGTCTCACCTTTTTTCCCATTTCCTGCATTGGGAAGCTTGGCAGGCGGGATGAATTTCAAGGAAACCACCAACTCGCCTTTGTATTCAGGAATGCTAGAAGAGTCTGCCATGTTCTGGAACCAAAATGAGCAACAGTATTTACCAGGATAAATACGGCACTTTGCAAACTGGAGGACAGTGCAACCAAACAAGTGTGTGCAGGATTTACTGACAGAAGCAAGGGGAAGAGAAGGGAATGTGCAAAATGCAGAGCAGAGCAGATCGAAGTTCATTACATGTCAAACAGTTTAAGGGATACAAAGTGGTCCTTGGCATTAATTTTGTATCAGGGCCATTCCCCAACTTTTGTCCACACATATGGGCTTTTAAGTGATTTGCCTGTTTCTCAGAGATGAACCTATTGAGCAGAGCAAAAAGATTCCATGTACAAGATAAAACACTTGTATTACAGTACTGGAAAAATATGTACCCATCTCATGCCCTTCAATGGCTCAAGGCCCCTGCAACTCTAACAATGGCTGCAGATCATAAAGACTTTGTGCGGATATATTTTTAGATGCTTTGAAACCTTTTATAGAACTCTTTTGTTGAGATGTGATGATTATCCTTGTGCCTTTGTGTCTATTGTGTGTTCTGTCTATCTGTTCTTTCCTAGGCTATTCTTCCTTATGTTCTTCTGATCAAATCAATAGGCTTTAAATATATATATATATATACAGAGCTTGAAAGAGGTTATCTTTTGAACTGCAATCCTCAAATCCACCCATTAGCATGGCAACTGGGATAACTCTTCCATCCTCTAATACAGTGGTGCCTTGCCTAACGAGCGCACGTGTGTTCTGTCTAGCGACGTGTTTTTTGCAATTGCATTGCAATGTTTTATATAGGCAAAACATCGCATTGCGATGATTGGTAAGCGTTTCACTTACCGATCTTCGCATTGCGATGTTTTGGGAACAGCTGATCGGCAGTTCCAAAATGGCCGTCAGGTGCAGAAAATGGCCGCACGGAGCGTTTTCGCGCCCTGCCCTCGCTTACCGGGTGGCAAAAATGGTGGCCGGATGGAGGATTCCCCGCATAGCAGTGAGTTTTTCCCCAATAGGAACGCATTAACCCTATGGGCTTCCCCCCCCGCATAGCGACAATCCGGATAGCGACGTTAATCCTGGAACGGATTAACATCGCTATGCGGGGCACCACTGTATTATGAACATGATTTCAAAAGAATTAATATGTGCATGAATTAAAACCACAACTGATGAGAGAGGGCGAAGTACGAGAAACGCAAGAATCATGCTGTCCACAACGCTATGGGCTTCCCCCCCCGCGCACCGCGCATAGCGATGAATCTGGATAGCGACATTAATCCTGGAACGGATTAATGTCGTTATGCGGGGCACCACTGTATTATGAACATGATTTCAAAAGAAATAATATGTGCATGAATTAAAACCACAACCAATGAGAGAGGGCGAAGTATGAGAAACGCAAGAATCATGTTGTCCACAACGACTTCCGTGGAGCATCTGCCACCCTGCAAAGCGGCAGCGAGGGCTTCAGAGAAGAAAGTGGGAACTTGGGACAGACCTTGCCATGCAGGGGGAGGCTCTCTTCCAGGGGACTCTCCATGCTCCAGGACTCCATGGGGACTTCCGCCTCTCCCAGGAATGTATTTCGCCCAAAGCGATCATGATGCCAGACGGAGAACTGCAAGGTCCGGCTCTGAAGGAGGGACCTGTTGATCTCGTACTACAAGACAACGGAAATAAACGATGAGCACTTCGTGATGAGAGCGCCAGAAACATCAACAGTGCAATGTTGCACACACACCCCCAAGAGGGAAACAAAAAGGTTTGGTAAATGTACAATCATCACTCTGACAGTGCAAGTATCTTTACAAAGACCAGGGGAGGAGACGTTTTGAAAAGATCTTGCGACCCATCTGTACAAGCCGTCTGTGTTGTTGAGCTGCAGCAAAGTAGACTCAAGATGCAAAGGAAGCTAGAAGACTGATTTTAAAAAAAGATACATCCTTCTGCATACTAGATTGTGCGCTGAAGTGCCATATCTGTCCTGTCTGCAACACAATAAGCAAACCTGACAATTCCCTGCCCCAAACACACACTTCTCCCCTTTCACACACACACACCCCTTTACCTTGAGGAGCTCGTGGTATAAGGGATTGACTGTGTTCCGTTTAATTGTGGTTTTCCGCTTCCCTTGGCGGGATTTGTCAGGGAGGAGATACGTCTTCACATACCTGCAGGGGGAGGAGAAAAAAAAACCTATATGATATTGCCCTGACTTTCTGCAGCCACGTCCAGGAACAAAGGCTGTTTGCCAAACCCTTTCGAAACCAGAGATGTGACCCCATTGATCAGAGAAGTTATATCAGAACAAAGCAATTAACTTGGTGAATTAGAGGGCTCCACCATCTACGCCCCCCACTACCTGAAACAATCCGGATACAGGTCGCACTGGCACGTGCCGCAAGCGATTACACCTTCCAGACAAAACAGGGAAAGCTGTGGTGTGTAGCTGCTCACCTGTCTGTATTTTCCATATGATCAGTAATAGTAATAGCAATAGTTCAAGAAATAGGTCGGTTCATACCTGCATAATTCTCTTTCATCTGCACAGCACCCAACAGTTCAGTAGAAAAATGTACTGGTGAGGCTAGAACAGCCTAGTAAATAATTTGACCCCAGCCATAGTGGCCAGGGGATTCTGGGAGATGGAGTAAAAAAAAGTAACTGAGTTTCCAATCTGAATCAGCTTAGCCCTTCAGTCCCCAGGAGTACTGCTTACAAGAGATACAATGACTGATCCCCCAATTAACACTTCACCAGTTTGGGTATCCCATCAAGCTTTATTTATCGCTCAGCATGCTGTCCGAGCTGAGCCATCTATTCTACTATCAGATGAAGTATGTACCGAAGTCCGCCTTCAAGTCGGTCCTAAAACCCAAATGGCCAGACCCAACTTTTGCCCACAAAGGGATGCCATCCTGCCCCCCTGCCGTCCCCTGCCCCAAAGGGCACTCACGGGTTGGAACGCTTCTTGGCCTCATCCGCGTACGCCAGGCGGCGGCACTCCTTGATGTGGATGAACAAGATCTGGGTCTTCTCCTCGTAGGTCAGGGAGAAGGCAATCTCTCCCGTCACACAGACGCTGCCAAAGTCGCCGGCCTCACTGTAAAGGCTCATCATGCTTCCTAAAGTACTCTAAGGACATTTTTTTAAAATGAGAGAGAAAGAAAGAAAAAGTTGATAGTGGGGAATGT